GCTCATTGGCGCTACGAGCAACCGCCCCGCTTGCCCCCCGATCCTCGCGCCTATTCCGCGATTCAGTGACGCGTTGTGTACCATACAATCGCCAAAAATTGCCTATAAGTGATGATTTCTCAACCGTTGAGTTGTCTGAACGCACCCAATGGCATCGGCTGCGTTCAGCAGAACTCAGCGCTACAAGCGCTTAGCGATTGTTGCTCGTCATTGGTATATTTCCGTTAGATTTATTGGAAGAGGCCAATCGCACGCAACCATTAGCTGAGTACTTCTAGCATAAAACTACTTCAACCAATTCAAGCATTTAGTCGCAAGTCTTATTTGAATTGACTGAATTACGTTGGTCAAATCAGCCAATCAACCAACGTGATTCACCGACAGCGAATATATCGGAACGCAGCTAGTACAATACTGTGACTGATCGCGATGCGTTCGTGAACGCGCGATTAAAACGCGACTCAATGAATACGGCTTGGCTGTCAAATTGTACGAATATTCGGCCGACTCTTCTTTCGAATGCGCTTGGCAGCGTCTTGAGGATACGTGCGATGCCGTGTCCAACGACAACTTCGATATTACAACGTGCAAACTGTATCGAACTTTTTTTACGAAGCCCACTGAGCGAAATGTAAGTGCGTATATACATTCGTTTGTAACCCATCAACCGTTGATATCTTGTGTGTGTTTTCTTTATTATTTTTGAATCGTCGATTTTCCGCGGCACATCTACGGCACACTAACATATATTGCATGATATGACAAATTATTATTTATTAAAATTATTTATTCAAATCAATCGTTTCATCAATTACTCAGAATCGTCTGTAAGTCGCTCGATAATATATAACTGCTTCTGTACCTGTCACGTCGGAAATTCTGATTAATCACTCATGTTACAGAGATCAGATTTTTGCATATTGTTGTATTTAACTTATTTCTTGATTAGAGTCATGAATTCAGTTTAAATATTTCTGCAGAAATCAACGTGTAATTTATTACATTTATATTTATGTACGTAACTGTCGGAATTCCATTTACAAATTACAATTGCAAGAGAGTTTACCAAGTATCTATTGTATGCATATTTAATTTGCAAACAAAAACTTAAAACATGACTATTTTTTATGATACAACAATTAATTAAAAACTTTGTCAAATATGCGCAATACAGAAAGATAGATAAAATATTATTATTAAAATATGCATGAAAAGAGAGAATACACTCTCCTCTTTTTCTCTCTCTCTCTTTCTCTCTTTCTCTTTCCTCATTAACTCACTCATAATAAAATGTAAAATATTGTTTTAACAACATCTTGTTAATAATACACAAAGATTAAAGTTTAATGGATTTTATGATAAAAATAGATCAAATAAAATTAATTAATTAAATTTATTCAAACCAGTTTATACATTTGTAACGTAATTGCCAAATAATTTTTTTTTATTTTGTTGTTTTTTTTATTATCTTTTGTTATTACATTTGAGTAGAATGAATAATTGTTTTTAATAAGATAAAATTGTTTTAATAAGATTATATTTGGTCCATCTTTTTATCACAAAATCGATCAAAACTTTTGCAATATATTTATTGTTTTTTTCTGCTTTACATATAAATTAGATGAATTCAGAATCTCAACAGACACTGTTGTTTATTACTGCAATGAAAGATGCCAATTCTTAAGGAGTTGTGTTTCTGAAGTGGTTCTGGTTCAAGAGGCCTGAGCTAAAGCACAATGAGAACCATTGTATCAGTTACTCTGATCATACTGCTATATGGCGTTGTGCTTATATTAAGCTTAGTTCCCATCAATGCCATTAGGATATGTGCCAGTAGGAAGAAAAACTTTGAAACTCTTTCTTTGAAACAAAATTCAACTGGTATATCTCAAGATGGATCCAATGACCAAAATGTAGGTTGCACACAGTAGATTATTACAAATAAGAACATATAATTAAACAAGTATAACAAGTGCTAACATACATACAAAATTGTTCTGGAATTATGTAAATTATGTTATAAAACTTATTTAACACGTATAAAAATAGTATATTACGCATATCTTGTTTTTTTTTTTTATGTTGATGCTAAAAATGATTAAACTAGTCTGTATCAAACTTTTAGGTAAACAAAGATATCAAATTTGAAGAATGTAATAATTTCTGTCATGCTTTGTGGCAAGAGAATAAGACTGCAAATGGTACTAAAATTACAATTTTGTCTCAAGGTATGTGATATGACTAATGTCATTATATATTAATATTTAGTAATGCTGTCTAATTAATAAAGTACATAATTCTTTTATATGTATGTGTATATACTCACATAAATATAGAAAATAAATTATGTATTTTATAATATTATCTTTTATTTAAAAAATACTGAATAATAAATAAAAATAATTATTTATATTTATATTAGGTTGTTGGAAACAATCTGGTGAGCAAAAATGTGAAAACATCGAGTGTGTTGCTCTTCAAAAATCTACAAAAGCTTTGAATAATACCAAATTTTGTTGTTGCGATGGGGATTATTGTAATCTCAATATTACAAGTTCAAACTTAACTTATTCGGATAACAAAGTGTTTAATTCATTTTCAGCACAAAAAAATCAGACAAGTAAGACTTGACATCTTATAAGAAGAACTTAAGATAAATAAAACAAATGTTTAATATATTATTAATATTTTCCAGCTACGGGATGGACAAATTTTATTACAGTACTCACTATAGTATGTACATCATTGATAATGTGTTTTATAGTGATCTCATATAAATATTTATCGTATCGTAAGGATGCGTTCATACACAGATTAGAAAAAGCAATAGCTTATAGCGATCAGTCTACAGAGAGTACAACATTAAGAACTGGTACTTACATGGTTGATCACTTGAAACTTACAACTATTGTAGGTATGTTCTTATTAATCTCGCATTCTTTATTTTTTTCTGTGTTTTTTGTCGTTTTCTAATATTCAATATTACATTAATAATTGTTCAGATTTACTGATTTATTATTTATATATTATAGGTCAAGGACGATATGGATCAGTTTGGCAGGGCAGTATGGGGGATCAAGATGTTGCAGTCAAAATATATCCTTCGCATTATCGCAATTATTTTCAGAACGAAAGAGATACTTATTGTTTGCCTTTTATGGAGCATCCTTCATTATTAAGCTATTACGGTTAGTTATTATGAGCGATAAGTTTATGAAGTAGGTTTTATTTTTATTTCGATTTTAGGTGTGGATGAAAGAACAAGCATGGAAGGCAGTGTTGAATATCTTCTGGTGCTGAGTTTTGCTCCAGGTGGTAGTTTAACAGACTTCTTACGAACACACACTATAGATTGGACTACATTCTGCAAAATGAGTCTTACGATAGTAAAAGGACTTGCTTACTTGCATACAGACATACGTAAAGGAGGTATGTATCATGTTATATATATATATACATATGTACTATATATACATGTATACATATATTTATTTATTTATTTATTTATTAGACAAATTCAAACCATGCATTGCACATAGAGATATAAATTCAAGAAATATACTAATCAAAGCTGACGGTACTTGCTGCATATGTGATTTGGGTTTAGCAGTTCAAATCTCAGGGTCGAAGTATTACTCTAATGGAGAAGAACAGCATGTTGAACTAAAATCAATCAATGATGTAAATATCTTCCTTGTTTTAAATTATGTGAAATTTAATGATACAATTACATCTATATAAAATTCTATTATGAATTTTTATATGAAATTTAATGATACAATTACATCTATATAAAATTCTATTATTCTATTATTTCTAGGTCGGCACTCTAAGATACATGGCACCAGAAATACTAGAAGGTGCTGTCAATTTACGAGACTGCGAAAGTTCTTTAAAACAAATAGACGTCTATGCAATGGGATTAGTTCTTTGGGAATTAGTGACGAGATGTTCCGATATTTATGTTCCTGGATCTGAAGTGCCGCAGTATAAACAGCCATATGAAAGTGAAATAGGTTCGCGTACACACAATATTTCTATGAGATTGTAATGTCTTTTCATTCACGTTACTTTATAAAAAATATTTTCATATCTTTCAGGTCTTCATCCGACATTTGAACAGATGCAAGTGTTAGTGTCGCGTAACAAAGCTAGACCACTTCTAGAAGGTAACTTAATAGATAGACCAGGAGTGCGTTTGATTAAGGAAACTATGGAAGATTGTTGGGATGCTGATGCTGAAGCTCGTTTGACTGCTTTGTGTATAGAAGAACGACTTTCAGAATTGCAGTCTTATCGTGGTAATTAACCTATCAAATAATATACAATTGGATTTTTCCGAAATACTTTTTAAATAAAAAAATCTTTTCTTAGTTACAATGCATTTTACTGACGGAAGTCCAATGGTAAATTCTCATTGCACCTTAGTGCCTTCAACGACGAACAGTCTTTATAGCGAGTCTTCGCATCACGATAATGTACATGTTCAACTTGCACTGAACATAGGGCAAGATGGTAACGTTAATGATAGTGCAATAACAGAAAACTTGGTTACATTATCACCATCTGACAGTACTGCTCACGAACATAATTGTAAGTGTATAATAAACCAATTGTATGAATAAAGAGATAGCACATAGAACTTTTTACAATTAAAAACTATTGCTGATAATCTGTTTGTGTTTTAGTTAAAAATTCGAATGAAGTAGCCACATATAATCATACTCAAATGCTTCAACCATACCAAGGCAGGAATCCGTGTATGGAAAGAAATTTAATGTTACAATCAGATTCCTTAGAAGACTTAAGCTGCAATGGCAACATTCTTGTCGATAAGTCTTTGAAACATACATGCAACGATCAATATAAGATTGCCACGGAAGCACAAGGACTGGTTTCGCATGATTACTTAAGCCAACACACTACCCAATTAACACAGCTTAGGCCAGCGACGCCTATACCGTATGTTCAAAATGTCATTTCCGACGAAGGATCGTCTTCATACAGCAAACGAAAACAGACGAATGTATATGATTCGTCTTTTCAAGAAAGTCCACGAAAAAAATTGTTTGCGTGGCCAAATTTTAAAAAATTACTCATTAACAAAAAGATGTATCATTACAGCAGATACCAAATAGATAGGGAAGATTCTAAGTCAAATTTATTAGCCAAGCAAAATGTTCAGATTAAAACTGTCGAGACAAACGTAACAATCTCGCCTGGAGGAAAATATGTAAATGGCATTATTAGTAAAACGTCTACTTCAACAGTACCTATAGAAAAAAATGACAAAAATATCGCACAAACAGAAAAGCAAAAACAATATGAAAACGATAGCGCGTCTTCCAATGGGCGTCCTTCCACTTTACCGCTTGTAAACTTACAGAACAAAAAGAGAGAAAATAATCTTAGTAGGCAACAAAGCATCGATAAATTTAACGAAGTTTTTAATGTGGGTTCAAACGTAAATAATGTATTGAAGGATCCTCATATGAGAATAAAAACACCAGGTGATTTACCGCCGTCTGTTAGAAAAATTCGTGGTCGTGCACAATCAACTGCGAGATTTTCGCTTTACGACGATCGTATGATGTGCAATATTCTCAATGAAGAAGATGATCGAAATGACAAAGCTATTTGGAATTCTGTGCCATTTGGTATGGATCTCGGTAATAACGATGGAAAATATTCACCAACGAAACTCAGTACCAAAAATGTTACGTGCTTTTAATCAGATACGATGTATTACTGTATTTATATCATTTTCTTGTTTTATATATATATGTATAACAAAATGTATACACACGTACATAATTTATAGTTTACAAACAACAAGAATGCTGCAGGACACCTTCAGCTTCAATTTGTGTATAGAACCTGTCTATATCGATAAGTAAGATTTTATACTCGATATAAATTACTAAAATATATGAACACACAAAAACGATAATGAAATTAAAAATAAATTAGAAGAATATTATATACATATATATTCTTCAAAGATTCATGCTATTCGATTAATTTATCATGTTATAATTACAGTAATGCTTTGTATTATAAATAATTTTTACTGAAGAGTAGATGATAATAGATGGCAAGTGCAACATTTATGGATAGAAAATAGAAAATCAAATTGATCTGCAATCGATATTTGCTGAACAAGAAATTAGTTTATTCATAACTGTTCTACATAATACTTGTGAGTCACATCTCTTCTTCGTATTCTAGTTCGTGTTCTTTTCTCTCAATTTAATATTTGTAGAATTAACGAATTCAGTGTAATTATATAAACATAGACAATCAATGTCAACATTTACATCACGCCAAAAGATATTAGCATCTTGATGATATAACCATATTTTATTCCTTTTTTGCAGCATTTAAAGGTATAATATCTCTATGTAATGTAAATCAACAATCTCTCTTAATGTTAATATTTATAAAATATTCTGCATTTGTATGTGTGGATATATATTATAATAGCTCTCAATGACTTATGGAGATTATAGATGAAAGTAACATGCGCAAAAAGAATTTAATTTTTTATTATTTTAGATATTTTATATCTGAGAAGAAATACTTTGTATTTTTTTCATATATGTTTTGAACAAATCTGTGTCTAAAAACGTGTTATTTATTAATATGCAACAATTATATACATATAATTTATCAAATACTTATTTGGAAATCTTACAATTACTGCAGAAGTTATAAATATATACAAGATGACTGTAATTATTAAAATAGATATAGCAAAAAGATATATATATGTATGTGTATATATACGTATATATATATATATATATTTGAGCACAAAGTATATAATTATATCGAGTTATATAAAATTTTATATTTTTTTTGTCTTTTGTCAGAATTCAGTGTGTAAATATTTGTAGCATACAAAAGGACTACATACAAATATATGTTAATCGTACTTGGTATGTTATGTTGAGAGAAGATCATAAAATATTTTATGTTGTATACATTTCTTTTACTTTATCATACATGTTATTATTAAAAAAAAAAAAAAAAACAAATTTCAAAGATTATGATTAGATATGATTATAAAATTCATAATAAAATGAATCCGTGAAACTTTTCTCTCTATCACCCTCTTCTTTTTTCTCTTTTTTTCTCTCTTTACTCTCTATGTTTACAATTACTATATTATAGATAAACTTAACAAATCTCAATCGCGTACATGACGTATATGCAGTTCTTTGAACGGGGTATAAATTATTCAGTTTTTTAAATACTTTTCTTTATGTATTCAAATGTATTGTTATTTACTTATATGTGACATATGTATATATTTATATAAAGTGAGCCTCCCCACTTCAAATTTTGTATTTTTTTTTTTTTTTTAATTGTGCTGTATTATGCTTTATTTGTGTTATTTTGTGTCATATTCTCTATTTTTCAATAACTTCTAGCATGGTCTGAGAAATAACAAAAAATCAAATTTTTGTTAGCTTTAAACTTTTCGAATTTTCAAATTTCAATGTTTTTTTTGTGCGGCTGCGGCTGCGAGGATCTTGTAAAGGCCATTCTACATAAAGGGTCGTCTACAATGGAGAGTTTTAGACCGTAACAGTAAGAAATTGACAAATCACAATCGATTATTCTTCTGTACTTTGTCTGTGATTGGTCAATTTCTTACTATTACGGCCTACAACTCTCCATTGTAGACGGCTCTTTAAGACCTGGTTTATGCGAGCAATAACTGGTCTAGTTTCCACCGAAACCCTCAATTCGGTTCCACTCCGGTACAGATCAAATTTAGTGTTCCGTTTCCATTGGAAGTAGAATAGAAGCAGAGAGAAACCTGAGAGCGGCCATCCTATTGTAAGTTTTTACGACGGTTTCGAACCGCTGGTTTCAGCGCCGGGTTCCACTTTGCGTGGAACTCGTGAACTACGAAACGGGTTCCACTTTCAGACGCAGCGATACAAATGTACTTCGGTTAGAGTCCGTGCTAGTTCCACTTTACTGTCGATAAGTGGAACTGCCAAGCATCGAGAACATCGGTGATGGAGGCACGCACACAAACAAAACCGTGTCCGCGTGCGTGACGTCACGTTCGCTTGTGAAGGAGCGCAGACATACTGTGTTCTGTCTTGTTTCTGTCAAGACGGCGACGTTGCCAGACTGTTGTATGCTGCGTGATCATGTGTACAATATAAACACATCTATAGACGCCGAGCAATCGCGACCACTCGTTCACTTTCAGCGTTTTGCCGAATCTTGTCGTATATGACAACGTGAAACGCTTTTCCAATCATTTTCAATCTTATAAAAAGAATATCATATAAAAAATTTAATATTAAATGACATGACCTTACTACTTTAAGATAGCATTATTTATTATGAACAATTTATAAATAATAATCATTTACACACAAAAAAATATCACAAATAATATCAAAATAATACTATAAAATAAGGAAAACTTTATTAAACAAAAATAAACTTACTTCTAACCGAGATACTTAAATTTACTAACACATAATAATGAATATATATGTATATCTATACATAGATATGTCTACAATATATATATGGACCGTTTATTTTGAAAGTGGTGTAAGTCCATTTTCTTTTGTTTCGAGAAACTAGTTATACATAAAAAATTTACATTAAATTAAGCATGAATTACGTGATATCTCATTTTTTTTCAAAAATGGACTTACACCACTTTCAAAATAAACGGTCCATATGTGTATATACACATGTAGATATAAATAAATTTCACTTTAATTATAAAACTAAACATATGAAAAATAACTAATAAAATAATATTTTAATAAAATTTATTTAAAAAAACACAAAAATTTTGGAATCTTCTATTTCAGTTTTATTCTATGATCAGGGATAATAGGAGCATCCATAAGAATAATCATTCAATTACAATAAAACATCTCAACAGAATATTTGTATGATTTATTATTATTAATATGCATTGAATGAGACGAGAAACAAAGGAAATGTCAAAAAAATATTGAAGAACATTTGTTACTATATATAGTGTGTATAAAATTTGTAGTGTTATAATTTTGTCTGTTGTATTTTGTAACAATAACAGAAAAATCTACATTTTATNAATGCATAATCTTGAAGTAAATAATGTATATTAATATTATGTTTTGTAAATAGCAACCGTAAATTTTTATGTAGCAATAATTGAATAACATTTGAGGTTTAATATTGTATAATAATTAATAATGTCTTTTTCTATCCTTTATTAATATAAAATTAGACTACATTAAACTACAATATATTATTACACTTATCGCCACACAAAGAGTCACAAGTACTCTCTTTTTAAAGAACGTAACGTTTTTATGAATTGATTACTTTAAGATTACTTTATGCATCAAAATAATAAGTATATAATAATTTTTTTCATTATATACAAAATACGAAATATAGAAAAAAACTAAAAATTTAATATACATGCATATTCAACATTCTGTAATATTCTCAACCCTCAACCGCTACTTTGAAGTATGAAACACTCCAGCGAAAGTTTGCGCTCTGATATTTTTCTTTTTTCTTTGTTTTTTGCTCATTTTTTTCACTAATTTAAATTTGAAAGGTTTTAATAAAACCAATAACATGTTATAAAAGGTTTGAAAAGTACTCAGTAATCCTGTTACATTAAAATATTGATTTACGTTGTTGTGATGAACGTTTACAGTCTTTGGAGTATCCTACATCCTATGTAACCGTTATGAAATTATGAAGAAGTGTGGCGGTTGAGAGTTAAGATTTATTTATGTATTGCATTTAACTCATTAATAAATCACAGTTTATAAATATTATGTTGAGATATTTTAGTAATATCAATATTATTTACTTCTTACAAGATTGTAAATCCTCCAAAAAAATATTTTATTTTGTAATACGATACAAAATAAAATATTTA